TGAACTTTACATTAAGAAATAACCTCCAAAAACAAAGAGGTATGTCGCTTTTGATGTTTTTACTTTATACAGGGTGTTTCCAAAAGATGGTGCCAAATTTTAGAGGTATGTAGTACTCGTTAAAACAAACCAAAAAGTCTTAATGAACAGTATTCCGAAAACCTTTTATTTCTGAGTTATGAAGCATTTTACTCTATGAAAAATAGAAAATAACTAAAATTTACAATAAATATTCAATGTGCCCTCCGTCCATTGCATTGATGAATGTTGCTAAACATTCTTCTACTTGGCTGTCGGCGATTCGGATAAGCTGCATGATACAAGCGTGCTGCTTTTGTAGCATTGCCCTTTGCTCTGCCATACATAAAATGAATATCCGTCATTTCAGAATTTATGTAAAAATTAGCCATTTTTCAGATAACATAAAACTAGACACGGTCCATAATCCAAAGTTGAACACAACAATCCCTGCGTAATTAGGTGGTCACATACGAGCGTCCGTGAATGAACTAAGAGACTTGGAAACTATTGTCAACAAATACGAAATAAACCTGGACTCTTTGATCTTCAATGACGAAACATGCCAAAATGTGTATTGACATGAGCCGAAGGCACATTGAACATTTATTGTAGATTTATTTTCTATTTTTCACAGAACAAAATGCTTCATAACTCAGAAATAAAAGGTTTTCGGAGTACTGTACATTAAGAGTTTTTGGTTTGTTTTACGAGTACTACATACCCCTAAAATTTGGTACCACCTTTTGGGAACACCCTGTATATATAATATACAGGGTGTTAGTTAAGTATGTTGCCATACTCAACAGAGCAATTCTATGGTTTATTTCAAGTAAAAAAGTTCATATAAACATGTGTCCTAAACGGTTTTAGTTTCCAAAATAAAAAAATTTAAACGTGTAGTAATAATATGTTTCATTTAGAACAGCTTCTTCTAGTACTGGTGTTCTAACTATCATAGGCTTTCCAAGATCAACAGTGTTCCTTACAAAAAAAACTCTTTTCTCGAAGATCGCGGTGAATATTCGCAAATGTTTTATGACATAGTAAATTGCGTTGGGGATATCTTTCTACATAAATACGCCTTGCCTCACGTGAGTTACCATTTGCAAGACCGTAGACATATCTGCCATTTCAAAATTTGTAAACTTAGGCATAATGAAACCGATTTTGATGAATTGAAACAATTTGGCCTGAAAACGTATGCACAAGCTACGCTAGCCGACCCGCAGCAACATCAGAACTGAAGTCTATTTTTTATTTTATGACTTTGACTTTGTCACTTTGTTTACGATAGTGCGAATGGTAATTCACGTAAAGCAAAGCAATATTTATGCAGGAAGATATCTCCAACGCAATTTATCGTTTCGTTAAACATTTGCGAATATTCACCTGTATTTCGGAAACTAATCCGTTTAGGACACATGTTTATATGAACTTTTTTACTTGAAATAAACAAAAAAATCGCTCCGTTGAGTATGGCAACATATTTAACTAACACCCTATATATGTGTGTGTATATACATATGGAGGGGAATTGCGTATACTTCCTGTAGAAAAAGTGTGTTCAAAATATGTGCGAGAGAGAAAGGTATACATTCCTATTCATTTTCTGTGCATATGCGCCGACATGCGTCAGTTGTTGCTGGGCTATAAAATTATTGGTTTCAATATTTTTTTTACTTGAATTCTATCAACTTTACCGAAAAATAGTAAAAAATAAAAATTGTTTATTTTCTTCTCATAGAGATCGGGGAATTTTTTCAGAATTTTGTATTAACTTTTTAGTACTGCATTTTTTGCGTTTTCTTGTATTTTCTTGAAATTATAAAAAGATAATACAAAATTCTGAAAAAATTCTCAGAACTCTATGAGAAGAAAATAACTTTTGAAAATAACTTTTGAATCTCCTGAAAATAACTTTATAATCTAACCTATCAACTTCAACGCATGCGCACAGAGGGCGATAGGAACATATAGCTTTCTCTCTCGCACACATTTTGAACATACTTTCGTGCAAGTATTCTCCCTCCATGTATATATGCTCTAAGCTTACGACTCTACTATTTCTATTGTAGACCCCGCTTAACTTTAATTTTAACCAGATTTAATACCCAATTCAGCAATGCGGCTAAAAAGAACAGACTAAAGATCGTATTTATATTTAACATTTAACTTTTTTGATATTATTTGGACCAGGAAGAAAAGAAAAAAAAATTACTTTTCAAGAATATAGATAAGAGTATTATATCCCATATAGCCACAAATAATCTTAAGGAAGACTGAAGGTACAGTAATAATAAGTTATCGAATAGAAAAAAAGAAAGTAGTATAATCATGATTCTCCACTGACTGTGTGTGCAATACAATAAACGATAATAAATAAAAAATGTTCTTTTTGTAATATTTAAATAATTTCAGGAACTTATATATGAATATTATATATTTTTACAAATATATATAAAAATAATCTTAAACTTAATAATCTTATCTTAATATCTTTAAGATATGTTATATAAAACAATGTCATAAAGACACCTTTAATTTAAACATAAACTTTTTAAAGATTATTAGAATATCTTTTTGACAAATTTATAAATCGTTTTTAAGACATCATATTGTTATCTGTGCGTGCGTGTGTGTGTGTGTGTGTAAGTGAGAAAGAGAGATATTAACATATTCACTACTAGTATCTCACACACACACACCCACACGCACATGCACACACACACACACAAAACACAATGATCTCTCACAAAAAATTAAGATCAAATATGTGTAATAGCAAATTTTTTTTTCTATAAACATTATTAAATTAAACTTGTTTTATAAAAGGAGGAACAAAGAATGAAGTAGCTGTAGAGAGAGTTTATCAAATAAATTAATAGAAGATGTGTTAGGGATGCTGAAGTCAATGACAAATTCTAGTAATATCAATAATACAGAGACAATCGTCATAACATAATCACGCTATCTTTTTTTGTATACAGAATTTATGTAAATATGTATTGCTTTATTTTACCATATTCAATTGAAAACCTAGCTACACACATGTGTAGAAATCTTTCTGCAAACTTTTCGGATATTTTTAAGCTTCTGAATTTAGTTGCGAAGGTACAGTGATGTTCTTCAAAAATTTTTTTGTTTGAAACATCCATATTTTGATATGTACAAACTGCAGAACTTTTATATTAGATGAATATTATATTGACAGCTTGAGATTTTACATTTGAAATCTTTTTTTCATTTTCACCACATATTAAGTAATACTCCTATTTATTTTTGTACATACTTTCATTGCTTAAAAGTATTTGTAATTCTGTACAATCAATATGATGTGAACTTTTAGAAAAATATCATTCTGTCAGTAGTTATCAACTTCAGCATCTTTTTAATATAGTGATCTTAAGTAAATATAAGATATTTTTCTGCTTATATATGTATATATGTATATGTATGTGTACATATATACATACATTTATATCTTGATAGATAATACTAACATAATTAAAAGCTGCTAAATATACTTCTTCAAATGTTACACAAATATATATATATATATATATATATATATATATATATGTTACATAAATATATTTAAGAACTAATTTCTGTATCTGTTTGTTTGAGATACACTTTATTTCTACTATTTATTTGTTACTTTTTATTTTTAAGTATAAATATGAATATATAATCTCACTTTAAATATAGAGAATATTAAAATAAGCTAATGCATTTTATTACCACAAATATTACCACAAATATTACAATCATACGCATCAGAAAAACTCACAACTTTCTTATAATTTATTGAACAACAAAGTTCTTTGAATGAAATTATAAATTGATGTGACTTGCATACATTTAAGAAATGTATGAGATTAAAGGCAATTTTGCAGGTGATCATTTGGTATAAACGATGTCTTTGAACTAGTTTATATAAAAAATTTAATATATGTATTAAATTTGCATCCCAAAACATCCTTTTTGAGGAAAATTTTATTCAATATCTATAGTTCATAATACATATACTATAAAGTATTGAATAAAATTTCCTCAAAAAGGACATTTTGGAATGCAACCTAAATATCTATATAGTATAAATGTCTAAAATACAGAAGCATCCTAGAGATATTTGAATATCTTACGGACATATTTTAAACATTTATGTTATATGATTATTTTATACATATATATATATATATATATATATATATATATATATATCAAATGTAAATTTGTTCCATGATAAATTGCTATATTTATCAAACGATCGCCAAAAAACGCCTTAAATTGCGAATGTAATAATTTCTATAACGCTTCCCAATCTCAAACATCAATCTCTAGGAAACAAGCAAGCAGTAACCAATAGTGACTAACCGAAAATTTGTTGATCGTCTTTTAGTCCATCAAAGTCCCGCCGCTGTCACCGTGTGGTCAGCGAACTGGAAGCAAGTCGCGTTGTATTCTATTTCTATTAATCGGGCTGCCGGTAAGAAACACTCAGTATGGTTTTCTACAGCAATGTTCGTCCATAATGCCATCATTACCACAGCATCTTTTCTTCACAAACTTGCGAGACAAAAGGAGCAAGAAGAAAAAGAGATAAGTAACGAAAACATAACATACACATTGTCACGACGATAGTTTCGTGATGTTGCACGCTATGCGTCATTCGTTCATGCTAGCGAGATTATCGCCACGTTCATCGCGAGCTATCACCGTCCGCATGTGTCCCAATGCAAGTCATCAGGCACGTCATAGTACCGCACTTTGCGAACACAAACAATAATCTATCTGATCGCCGATTACAACGCAAGCTATTCCTCGCAGGACCGGCCATAAACGTTTTAAGCACCCCGTACATTCGGATTAAAGCCGGTATTCATAGTCGAATCTTATTTCAAGACCGTCTTATGGCTTCTGCACACAGGACGCGGTAATGCTTGCCACGCGACAGCCAGTCAATATGTTGTTTTTCCGTAAGAGCTAGAAGGTTATTACGGAAAGCAGCATATTGATTGGCTGTCGCGCGAACTTCTGCCGCGCGACAAGTATTACCGCGTCCTATGTGCAGGAGCCATTAAGCAATGGCTGCGTTCAGCAGAGAAAGCTACTTTGCAACTGTTGTAAAATTCGTGAATCTGATTGGAGTATGCTCTTAATTTTGGTTGAATTCAAGAGTATGTACCAATCAGGGAGTCGATTGTGTATCTCAAAACAGAGTGAAAATGACAAAAGTGAGCAAATTTACTAGAATATTTGTAACTTCATTGGTCAATGCCTAGTGAATTTGTTCACTTTTGTAATTTTCACTTCGTTTCGAGATACACAATCGACCCCCAGATTCACGAATTTTACACAGTTGCAAAGCAGTTTTCTCTGCTGAACGCAGCCAATATCTTAAGATGCGAATACGGCTCTGTGATTGGTTTATGACATCTTAAGACAGTACTTAAGATGATCTTAAATATAAGATCGGACATTCATATGTACTTGACCGGAAAAAAACTCCGGTTGGAAAACTATTCTTTTAAATCGTTCGTATGAAGAGTTTTGAAGTGCAAATGAAAAGATTTGTGAGTCATTCTACTTGTAATTAATTGTTCTTTTTTGAACCATGTATTGAGCCGGAAATAATGACCGGAGGTAAATTAAATAAAGATTCGGTATAGTATCGTTTGTATTTCATATGAAGAGTTACAAAGTATTATTAAAAAGGTTTGTGAGTCATCCAGATAATTTTAGTTAAATATTAAAAAATCATGTATTTGGCCGAAATATCGATCTCAAGCACTGCTGTGAAAGTACCGTCAGGCATGATCGGTGTACTATCTAGTATTTCAATACTCCTGGTTCTTTTTCGGGTAATTATTAGCGTGTTCGACTGGCCCTGGGTTAATCGCTCCGAGAGCGATTAATGACGTCTCTACTAGTCAATCATAAAACTTATAAATACTTGTTCGACCAATAAACGTAGACTGAATAACCTAGTGGGTTAACCCAGAGCCGAACATGCTGGGCTGCGTTCAGAAACCTTACTCGGTGAGTAGAGTAACATTTAATTAGCCAATCAGGGTAAAAAGAACTAAGATTTATTTATCATGATTGGTTTATTAAAATAACTCTATCCATCGAGTTGGATTTCTGAACATAGCCCTGTGAGTATAATAAGACCTTTTTAGAATTTTATTTATTATATTTTTTTGCAGCTCTTTTAGTAAAAATATTTATTTTGACTCCAACATTGATAATCAATCAGGGGAGTCCGAAAAATATGCAAGTTATATATTGTTATGCAAATGGTTCCAAACGGTTTTCTGGCTAACCTTCAGTTCCTGGGCAATGGAATAAGTGCTCACATGCCGGTCCGACTCGACGATTTCCATGATTTTATCGACATTTTCGACGATTGGCCTACCAAAACGTGCCTCATCTTCGACGTCCATATTACCAGAACGGAATCGTTGGAACCACCGCTTTGCTGTTGCATTCGATACTGTATTGGGTCCATAAACAGCACAAATTTTTTTGGCCGCTTGCTCCGCCTTTTCACCTTGGTCGTAGTGGTACTAAGGAATGTATCGAATTTTCTCTTTTTTTACCTCCATTTTGGAACGTTGTAAC